ACACATGGTATGTGTGTGTTAGTATGTGGTCTCAGTTATGGGTGCACATACACATATACACACATGTAGAATTGTGCATATATGTATGTGACCAGGGGTTCATAGATACATGGGAATGTATGTGCATAAGATGAGGGTAGAAAAGGCCATCCCTTTTTTTTTGTGAGAATGCACATGGAAATGTGATTCTACTTCATTTCACATCTTGACTGAGAGGAGCCCAGAGTTCGAGAACCTGCCTCAAGTTGCAGTGGTGACTCAGGTACAGGGCTCTCTAACCCCCAGGCTTGGGTTCCTTTGACCCCTGGGTTGCTCCTTGGGAACAGGGAGACAGTAGGGAATGGTATAGTCTCTGAGCCCCTACTCTGCACAGCCCCATATGTAAGAGGTGCATTGATCCTCTACCTTAAGGAGATCACTGCTCCAGGCGCAGTGTGGGTGGTCAGCCATCAAAGAGGGAGATTCAAAAGAGCTGGATGACAGCCTGGCTAGGGAAATAACTGCCAGGCAGAAGACAGTCCAGAGTAACAAGAGGACAGTGACGATGAGATGGACAGAAAGGGCACTCAGCCTAGACTCCAGAGTATTTGTGATTTAGCTCTGTTCTAAGGTATCTATCTTTAGGCAAGTCATGTTAGTTTTCTGAGCCTTGACTTGCACATCTGCCAAATGGGGCCATTCTCCCCACCCAAGCCCAATCCTACCTCAATGTGGGGTTAAGAACACAGCTTTTGGTATTTTAGGAGAGAGCTCCACTCTCAATCCTTAGCAGCTGTGTGACTTTTGGGAAGTCATTTAAGTACTCTCAGTCTCCTCACATGTAAAATGTAGTCTCTAATTGATAGGATTGCTGTGAATATTGACTAAAATAATGCTGGATACAGTCAGAACAGCACCTGGCACAAAGAAAGGAGCTAGTAAATATTAATTACTATCAGCACTGCTATTATTAGTAAAGTTGTTACAAGAATAAACTGATGTCGTGGGGTGGAAGCTGCTCAGCTGTAGAAAGAGCTGTTGGAATGGCTCTTACAGTTTGTGGTTATTTATATCCTCTTCCCTATTGAGAATCCTATACATTCTTATACCATTGACTTTGAACTTGACAAGCTTCAGTACACAGCCAACAGTACTTACCAGGTCTCAGCAGGAATTCTAATATCGCAATGCTTATTTGTCCTTTGACTATGAGAATATCAACTGCTTGGTGAGGCAGCTCCTCCAGCCTGAGCCTTGGAAAGAGCAGCCACAGAGCAGAGACACAGGAGCCAGGTTTGTAGCCACTATCATATGACGTACATAAGAAATGTGTTCATTATTGACAGCCACTGAAATCTGAGGGCTGCACATTACAGCAGCCAAACTGACACATGAACTGACACAGTACAAAAAAGAGAGGTCTCCAAGGAAGTGTCACTAACCTATTGAGGCGGAGTTAAGTTTTGATATCTGAGGTCAAGGAGTAGGTAACACACACACACACACACACACACACACACACACACACACACCCTCCGTATTGCTTGTCTTTTATTTCCATAAGTCATCTAATCATCTAATATATTAATATTTAGCAAATCTCTGGTGCTAACTAGCTGTTACATAGGATCCCCTCATCTATAATTCTGGCCCAATGTGGGTTCCTTGGTTGTCTCATTGAGAAAGTCCTTTAAGTCCAGAGCACTGGCTTTTGATTTGTTTGCCTTTATGCACTTAGGCCATCTTGTTAGAAACAAGAAGGCCACAAGCCAACATCAGCCCCCACCACAGACTATGGGAACAGTTCCCGGTCTCCAGTTAACAGTGGTTCCCTTCCTGTGGGTCTCCTTTTCAGAGCCAGCCCCATTAACCTGAGGAGCAAATGGTTCAATGCCATGCTCTGTTTGGCTCGGAAGCTGAGTATCTCAGAGGGGACCCCGAGTGAGAGCTGAGGACTGTGCTGTGCTATTCTGCCTTCCCTCTGGTCCAGCCACCCTCACAAGTGGTCATGGCAGACTTGGCAAACACTGCCATCTTGATCTTGGGAAGAGGAGCTGTTCATAGACTCTGACCTCACTGGGCTGGGAAAGTTCCCATTTGGAGTGATTTTTCACCCAGGAGGCAAAGCAAACATCTTGTTGCACAGTTCCCTTTCTCCCTGCCAGCCACCCCACTCAGGGATTCCAGGCATTTATTCTACTGCTTGTCCATTTTCTTTTCATACCATCCAACTGAGCCTTGATGGCTTTGATCATGCCTCCCATCCAGAAAGCCATTCACAGTCACTCTCCCCTCGTGTCTGCTTCTGGCCCTGACAGGAATTTTCCTGTGGTATTCTGTGGTCACAGTCCTATAATTTACAGCCCAGCGCATGCAGGCTTTCACCACACTGAAGACTTTCTGAGCAAATCTCGGTCTAGTGTGGTGCTCTGATTAACTGTCACAGAAGGCTGTGGAGAAGTTGCCTCTGGGGTCCAGCAGCACCCCACCTCCAGCTCACAGCACGCATGTCCAGTCACTATTTTCTTGTTCTCAGGGTGCAAACACCAGAGACATATGTGGGCAACGCTAGAGGCTGCTGGCCAGAAATATGGGAGGGAAAGAATCTCAGGCTGCCTCTACAGGACTGCGTTGAATGGCCTCTTAGTCACTCACTATTTAGTCCACAGTAGTTTGTGGCCTTCTCAGAAGTCAGCTCCCTCCCTTCCCTGCTCTCCTACTGTCTTCATCATGCTTGACTCAGCCTCCTTTGGCACCTACTTCTAAGCTGTCTCCACCAGTCTCTCTCGTTTCTTCCTTCTGTCTCATTTTTGCTTGCTTGTGTCATCAAGAGTTGTGCAGATTCTTCTTACTGCTATCTTTTGTGGGATTTCTGAGCTCTGGTTCCCATTTGTCCCGTTTTTCAACACACTCCATCCCGCCAATGGCTTCTCACCGATGCCCTGTTACCTCAGTTCAGTGGTCTCTGCCCAGTTCCATCTACCATCCACTCAAGGGCGCACCCAGGTTCCATGCCTCCTTGAAGTTTCCTTCTATTACCTTTCCTTTCCAGGGTGCTTGTAGTTCCTGCCAAGTGGAGGTCCTCATGCTTTGTCCTGCACTGTTTTCCATATGTTATCTCCAAGCTACTCCTCAGTAAGGCAAAAACTCAGGCAGGGCCACTGCAGAGTGTAAGTCAATGACACTGTGTATCTCATTAACAGTGTTCTCTTCATGTGGTCCAGCTTCTGCAGGTCCAGGGAGGAGTGAGACAGAACCTCTATGTCTACTACAGAAATCAGAAAGAAACCCAGGAGCAGTTCAAGTACAACAGTAGCATTTGTAAAAGTGATTATGTCACTTTTTTGTTTAAAACCTACCAGTGGTTTCCAATTGCAACAGAAATCACACCTTACCCTTCGTATGGCTTGCAAATACCTATAGTATCTAGGTTCTGATGATTTCTTCAGCCTTCTTTCAAGCCACAACTCCTCCCCACCCAGGCTACCTTATCCCATTCATCATTCTGCAGGTTCCAAATATGAACTGAGCCTTTTCATTTCCATAATGTCTAAGATGATATTCAATTAATAGGTTTAAATGTCTGAGTGAGGCATTTATATATTGGTATGAGTGGAGATGTGATACAGATTGAATTTAGTTTGTTCTATAAATTGTTAATATGTTCAAAATATGGCCCTCAATGTAGTGGTATTGAAAAGTAGTGAAGCCTCGTGGGAGGTCACAAGGCTTTCCCTCCTTCTCCACCTGGCTTGGTTGAGACATGATCTTTTCCTCTCACATGTTTGTCTGCCACATGGAGCTTTCTGCTACAAGGTAACACAGCCATGGTGGCTCTACCAGAGCCATAGCTATATTATCTAGAGTTTCAGCCTTCAAAACTGTAAGTTAGATAAACGTCTTCTCTCTGTAACTATTCAGCCTTGAATATTTCATGATAGTAATGAAAAACACTAATATAAGATGAGAAATTATTAGGTACGTATGAGTTACAGAGAACAGGGAATCACAGCTAAAGACTGAAGAGGTTAGAAGGCAGTGATAGACCCAGCCCAGGAGGAATTTGTCAGACCTCAAAGCCCTGAATACTATGCTTAACCCTGGCTTTGACCATATAACTTGCAGTAAGGGGTTAGAACATCCTCCCGGGGAAGGAGTATGAATAGCTTTTAGCAGCCACAAACAGGGTAGGCTGAAGCATGAAAAACTTGGAGACAGGACAAGAAGCTTTGGAAGTTCTCTAGTGCTGGCTAAGAAATCCTGTGGAGTAGGGCAGGACTAATAAGAATGCACAGGTGCTGAGGTCTGCCAAAGAGCCAGAAGGACTCACTGCTGGAGTAAAGAAGAAACCAACTCCAGGAATATGAGAATTTAGGTCTCAGACTAATTTTATCTGTCAATTTGACTGGGCTAAAGAAATACCCTGACAACTAGTAATGCTATTTCTGAGTGTGTCTGAGAGGCAGTTTCCAGAAGAGATTTGCATTTCTGTTAGCGAATCAAGTGAGGATCAACCTCATCGACATGGGTGGACATTGCCCACATCTCTGAAAGCCAGAAGTCAGAGCTCTTGCACCTTGGGCCTTTGGGCTCCAGAACACACACAGCAGGCCCTGGTTCTCAAGCCTTCTGAATCAGACTGAGTCACACCCCTGGCTTTGCTGGTTTGGGTAGACAGCATATTGTGGGGCTTCTTGGCTTCCAGAACCAATTGCCATAAGCCAATTGCCATCATGAATATATACATATTTCTTTGATTGGTTCTGATTTTCTGGAGAACATAGACTAACACAGTGTCTCTCCAGGAGTGCACACATTGGTCTTTAGGAAAACAAGAGGATGGCAAGACTCTGGGATCTTGGAAGAACTTAGAATGGGGCCAAATTAGCAGATCAGGAGAAAAGAATAGTGGCCATATCAGTGTGACATGAGCTGACATCCAGCAGCCCTGGGTCACTTCCCAGCTCTGTTGCTTTACTAACATACTGAACTTCACTCACCATTTAACATCTCTGTACAAGTTTCCTTGTTGATCATACAGGAATGACAATGGTCTTTATTGTTGTGATGATTCCTTAAGGTAATGCATACAGAAGGTATAATACAATGTTTAACACATAGTCAATCTTCAGGAAACTAGTAATAACTCTCTTTTGTAATTAACATTATTAATAAAATAATAATGTATAAATTGGAAGCTTAGAGGAATTCATATTTGGTGATTTAGGCACAAAAATTCTTTTCTTTTTTTTTGGTACTGGGGATCGAACTCATGACCTTGCACGTGCCTGACAGGTGCTTATGCCACTGAGCTAAATTCCCAGCCCTAGGCACGAAAATTCTATATATAATGAAAATTCCCAAGTGTATGAGCTAGGTCTTGGGAATACTGTGACCTGTGGCTGGGCTCTTAGGGTAGTCACTCAGCTTTTTGGTGGGGGCTGGGGCAGCTGTTCTTTCTCAGGCTAGTGTAGCTGGGAAGCCTGAGGTAATCAAGTCTATAGGCACTGAGCATGACTCAGCTATAATGAGTGGGGGTAGAGGTGACTGCACTGGAGTTGGGTCCATGATCCAATTAAACCCCTTCTTACTCTTTGATAATGCTTCTGACCAGACACATGATAGGAAGCAGCAGTAGAAGCCTCTGCCCACTTGGGTGGCTTCAGTTACGACTGAAGTACCCCGTCCTTCCAGAGCTCCCTGTCTACGGGCTGAGATGTGTGTGGATGAACACTGTGTGGAATGGACCCCGATGGTGGTTTCTATCACAGATGTTGTTCAGGCTCTTCTATCTGTGAAGCATTTCATAGACCTCTGCTAAGCATGCATCATGATGATTTCTAGAACATGAGCTCACTTCACCGTGGGTGCCAGATCATCATTACACTGGACTTGTATGATGCTAGCTTTTGGAATGTCAGCGCTCAGATTTGATTCAGACTAAGGCACGAGCAAGGCCAGACCCTGTTGCTTCTAATTGATGGAATCTTGAGCCATTCTTGAACTTTCTTGGGCTGTAATTCACCTGAAAAACAGAAAATGTTTGTCAGATTTTTTTAGTTGGAAAGTAAGCAAGCAGTAAATGCTTGTTAGTTGGTTAGTGATTAAAATTCATGAAAAAGGCCATCACATATGTGAGCACTTTTCGTCTCCACACAAAGCTGTGATACTGATGAGGCCATTATTATGATCCTCCACTTACAGAGAAAGCTGAGGTTCAGAGGTGTTTAAGCTGAAATAAAGTTGGCCTAAACTGGTCTTCACAATTGGGTGATAAAATTTGTCCCCACAGTTCTTCTTTACACAGTGGAGCAACTTGATATGTAAACAATTTGTAACTCAGTTACTGAGTCTCAGCCAATTGCAGCAGTCAAGCTTTAGGCAGTCACAGACTGCCACTGATCATCCCATGTCTATAGAAAGCAAATTATGGCTGAAGTCAATCAGGTTGTTTCTGTTTGTCCTATCTTTTTCTCTGGCTATAAATGAACCTATACATGTGGTGGGACATAGTGAATCATCACTGAATAGATTAATGTCTGGTTCTAGAACCTTTTTCTTACTCAAGTAAACTCTGTTCAATTAAATCAGACTTTATTTTTCTTTTAACTGAGGTTATGGGTGACTATATAGCACATAATAATCCTGGATCTTTCTAGCTAGAAACTTGTGCTCCATTTCCTATGTCAGATACTCTCAAAGATTCTCTCTGGCTGCTTTATATTCTGATTAAGAAGATACGGGATGGGTAAAAGAAAAGATCATTTTAACAGTTAAACCAAAGGAAGGTTTCTAGAGCTAGAACAAACTGGAAAAAACTCTGGTCATTGCCTGGGGCTCCTAGCACAGACTGTTAAACTGAAGTCCAACAAGATTAAAAGGAACAGAGCATGTTATATGTGTAAACAGTGGAAAACTCTTAAAGGAGATCTTTCCTTCCCTCGAGACCTTGGCATTAGTCTTCAAGGACAGCTGAAAAGGGATCCTCTCCAACTGTTCAGTGACTGTCTGGAGGAATGTCTTCTCTGTCAAGGTAATGCTCCTCCCTAGAGGCCAGGTCTGGAGCTGGATGTCCTGGATTTGAATCTTGATTCTCTGGCTCACTAGTCCTGTGGCTTTGATTGGTCATTTAATCTTTTTTTCCTCAGTTTTCCCTATGAAACCTACCTCCAGGAAATAGCCATTGGTATGACTCTCAGGACACAGTAAGCACTTAATAATTGCTAGCAACTAAATGAATATTGTCGCATTTCTAGGCAGCCTCCCTCATTTATTCAACTGCTACACTTTTGGACCAGATTTAACCAGGAATAAACAGGCATAAAGATGAACACGAAGATGAGGTAAACTAATAGACTCCGCTCAGTAATGGACTTGCTCAAAGACCATACAATCCCTAATCTCAAAGCTTTTCCTCACATCAATGTGACAGGAGATCACTGAGGCAGACTAGAAGGAACAGGCTGCTTTCGTGACCACACAGTCTGGCTGATATTGCCATGTGCCAGCCACCTTGCTCCCCTGGATGTGAATGTGGACTGCAGGGCAAGGCCATGGTGGGCAGCATGGGCTCACGGTTTCCTGCCTCCCCAGATCTGTGCTTTCTTCACAGGACGTCAGACAAGCGAGAACTCTGTCAGTATACTGGTAAGACACGATCGGGCTGCTGCTTGACGCTTTGTAACTGAACAAGTCGGTGACTGATGGAGCTGTCCATTCTTCCTCTCACTGTCCTGGCATCAGGAAAACTCAGCTAATGTTCTTGGGTCTGGAAACTATGTCGTCATTTCAGGCTTTCTCCATTACCACCAACCCCATTCCACTTGGCTGGCTACCCCGGGGAATTTGCTCAGTACAAAACAAATAAAAATGTATTTTATATTGGATCACTGGCAGCAGGATGGGTTCTTCCTGTAGCCTGTCAAACTAGAAGCAAAATCAAGCATCATTTCAGGGACCATGAAGGCTAACCCCTACACCTAGATTTACAGACTCTATGTCAGAAGGGACATGGGACAGAGGGGTAAACCCTTGCTGTAAAGAGGGAACTCTCAAAACTCAGCAGAAGCAGCCTGCCTAGGGTCACATAGCAAATTAGAGAGACACAAGACTGGAACCCCCATCTCTGAACTTCTTTGCACCCAGATTCCCCAGCTGGTTTTTTGTGGGGAAGATATAAGTCTTAAGTGGTTCCCAAAGCTTTAGGCTCAATAATGTATAAGTTGGGTCACTCAGAATTTTAATTATTAGAAATGCCCACATAGGAATTTTCAGATGCAATGATAATCATTATTCTTAATAATAAAACAGTGCTTTGGAAAATTTTAAAGTAACTTCCTAATCCTCCAAGCTTAAGTTTTTGTTTAGTGAAGTTTGGGAACTGCCAGACACTCGGTATAAAGTAGCCAATGAACTAAGTAATTCATTTGTACTGTCAGTGAGTTCAGATATTTAACAACACAGTAACCCCATTTTTTAATGGATGGATGCTGGCTCTTGGGATATTATTTGAAAAACCAGAAGTCTAAGACTTAATGGGTACTTGCGGGGGGCATCTGTACAGCTGTGATGTCAATGTAGGGGACATGCTTTCTACAAATAGCTGTTTTTTGGGGGGCAGCAAACAGGCATATGGAATACTGGGAGTTTATGCAGTTAAAAGAGAAAGAAGAAGGATGTAAGTGTGGCCACGTGGAGGTGTATACTGGTAGATGTGTTTATCAGTGAAGATTTTGAATCAATAGCCTAAATTAACACTTCCTCAGAGCTGTAGAATTAACATTCATTCCTGCAAAAACACAAACTTTCACAAGTACAGGCTCTGTCTTTATGTTTACCTTTTCCAGAGCCACAATAATCATAACACAACTAATTATCACCATGCATTCAGAGCAGCACCTAACTGCCTACATTTGTTTTTCCTAATAGCCCAGTGAGATTGAGTTTCTTATCCCCATTTCTCAGAAGAGAGAACCGAAGCACAGAGAAATTGAAAAGCTGCCAAAGACTACACGATCAAAAAGTGGCACAGCTGGGTATGGAGTCATGCTCTCTCAACACTGTAACCTCCTTTTAGACTAGGCTCTAAAAAACTCAGCAGGTCAGAGTTACCAGGGTTGCTTGTCAAAATAAAATTCTCCTAGTTCCAACCCTGAGCTACCTAATAGGAGCCTTCGAATTTGGGATACAGGAATATATCTTTTTAATATGTGGCCCCAAGTCTTCCAGTGGTCTCAAAGCATAGAGAACAATGTCTTAAATGAAGGACTCAATTTAACACTTGCAGGCGGGAACCCTCTCTTATTCCATCAGGCCAAGACCCAGGGGAAGGGCTTTCTTCGTGAGAGCTCAGCATGATTTCCCATCTGAGATATGTACTTCTTAGGTGACTGATCCCAACATTCACTCAACATGCAAACAAGACTCTTGCCCTCCTTGTAAGAGAAGGATTGTCCTCAGCCTTGTCTTCCTGTCCAGACACAGAACAATGTCTACCAGAGCATCTTCTGTCATGGGCTTAGGATGGATCTCCCTTTACCACTGTGATGTTCAGTTATCCATGTTGTCCCATCCCCTACCAATTTTCCTAATCAGCAGGGAGGAAAGGGTGTCACTTCACCCAAGTCTGCATGAATGTGATCTTGACAGCTCAGACACAGATTTCTAAGCCTGTACCCCAGGCCACAAGAGGCATCTTACCCTGTGCTCTAGGTAATTTGGCACAGATTAGGGCCAATGTGGTTATAAAACCTTTTTTATACAGTCTACAAGCACCAAGCCTATGATTATTTTAGATTCCTTCAGACAAAAACAAGTCCTCTGGCAGACAGGCAGCTTAAGGGCTCCAAAGGCACAATGATCCCTTTTGCTTGGGAATGTCAGCTAGATGAGAGGAGACCTCTGGCCTGCATGGTTGTGCCCAAATGAGAAAGGGGGAAAGAAAGAAGCTGAAGCCTGATGATACCTGCATCATCCCGCTAGTGGTAGGCAAAGAAGCACTTTGCCTGTTGTCCCTGTAACTGAAGGTCAGCACCAAGGCCTCAGTCTCTTGGTGTCCCTTCTGCTAAGAGTTGCTCCTGTACCACCCGTTCTCCACTTTCACCCTACCCCTCTGCCTTCATCTGAGTATATTTGGCTCAGGAGCAGTCAACTTTAAAGCTGCCAGAGTGAAAATATATGTTCAAATAAATTTGTTGAAACCAACTTCCCCCATCAGATTCTGTGTAGGAACTTGAATTTTAGGTAGTTGGGAATTTGTGTGGGAAAGACTCTAGAAAAGAGGGTAGGTAGTCAAATATCACTAATTACCAGAAATCAGCAATATGCCACTGAGAGGAAGATGGGAAAAATGGGTCTCTAAGACTGCCATGACCCATTTGAGTTTCCAAATTACATCCTAGGTACTGTGAGGTTAGTTTTTCCTTGTTCTCATCTGAAGTCATTGAGATTCCTATTGCCTCATTACCCTACTAATTTAAAAAAAAGACACTCTGGGGCTGGGGATTTAGCTTAGCTGCATAAACGCCTGCCTTGCAAGCAGGCAGTCGTGAGTTCAATCCCTGGTACCAATACAAAGGAAAAAGGAAAAAAAAAAAGACACTAATGATCAGAAGCCCACTGTGAGGGCTTACTGTCTCACACCCTGCAGAGCCTTTCCCAGCTTGGTGCTTCACTGTAATGATGGCTGATGGCCTCAGGTTCCCCATAAAGGGGGAAACAGATATTCACAAGGTCCTGTGATATGACAGACACTTTCATACATCACATGGAGCATTTGGTAGAATCCTAGGTCACCATGAGAGCCAGGGACGGTGTGCCCCTTTTTTTATGGAGATACCTGCAGTAGTAGTCACAATCTTTGACTCTCTGATCCATGCTTTTTGCCATGCTCTTGATAGGCAAAGTATGGGATCATCAGTGTGGACTCATTCATTCTATGTACATTGCTAAGATCTCTGTACTGCTAAAACAAAAGCAAGAGCCACACTAATATCTTCCTTTAGCTCCCTTGCCCTTGCTGAGGGC